ACTAACTCGCAGGTTGAGACCAGCAGGTGCCCAAAGGCCATCCTGTGGGTGGAGAGGATACAGGCTCATTCCCGAACCCTTGCGCCTTGTTACAGCTCTGTCACACGGGAGCTGGCTTGGCGACCCCATCTGAAGTACTACCACACACATTCTTTCCTCGCCCTCGTCTGTGCGAGGAACTGGTTGCACAGAGGGCTAGACGTTCCAGGATCCTCCGGAATCTCGCTACCGGTGGAGACTAGGAATTGGACTGAAGCCCAATGGCCAGAAGCAGAACCTGAGAACTCACGCAGGTGAACGCTCAGTGCGCTCTCGTGGCGACACCTGCTGGGAATGTCAGGTAATGCATTCTGGCCTTGTGTCTTCTGACCAGAGACACTTACCCTTCCTTTGATAAAGCACCTCAATCCAGAGAGTTAGAGGATACACGACCCAAGAAGTTTCATCTGGAGAGACTGAGGCTCATGAATCTGAAGCCAAAGTCATACTCAAAGTCACCATCTGGTAAATAACCAGATCGGAACAAGGTAGCCCCTAACTCTAGTGAACCCCTACTCTTCTCCCCACACCAGGCCTGCTTAGCCTTCAAGACGGCAGCTCTCCATGCACACACTCATTTGCATCATGTACAGCCAGCCCTCTTCCATGGAAGCTGTTGTTCATGCATGCATCCACGGACTACTGACTCCAGCCAGGTACCATGGTGTACACGGTGGATTCAAGGAACAAAGAAGACCTTCCTTTTGGGACAGGGCGGAGACTGACCTTACAGCTCCAGATGGCATAGGCTGTTGGGAAGGTCACAAGTCAGGGTGATGTGAGAGAGGGTTCTAGGTTCTGGAATTCTTTTAGCTCTGAGGAAGTGGCTGGGCTGTTCGCATCAGGTCACAGGATTTGGACACCTGGTACAGTAGAAGCTGGGAGGTGGGTGAGGGTAGAGCTGGGGTGAAGAGAAAGAAAGCCAGTGATGTGGAAGGAAGAAGGGGGCAATACAGACCAGACTTATTGGATATAGTTTTCCTAATGTCAGTTGTAGCTTTCTTTTGTATTAGACAAAAAAGGGGAATTGTAGTGATATATTAAGATTTTGTGGCGATATACTGTTTATGATTTATTAAAGTGTGCCTGAGAATTCAAAAGCAAAGCCAGTCACAAGCTATAAAAGCCAGGGAGACACTTTTAATCCCAGCAGCCAGAAGCTAGGAGGTGGTGGTACACGCCTTTACTCCTAGGACTCAGGATTAAGAGATAGACGGATCTCAGTGAGTCCGAGGCCACTCAGATCTACACAAGAGTGAATCAGTCTAAAAGAGAATTATAGCTCACACCTTTAATTCCAACATTAGGGAAGTATATAGGATAGAAGCAAGGTCTCAGATAGGCATTTATTCTCCAGTCACACTGAGGAGAGGCAGCAGTTTGAGACTTGGTGAAGGGCTCATTCATGGATCGATCTTTTCGGGCTGAGCTAGAGGTGAGAGCTAGTGGCTGGCTGTTTTGCTTCTCTGATCTTCAGCTTGAAGTTTGAACCCCAATATCAGTCCATGGGTCTTTTATTTATTTGAGTTACATGATTTATTAAAGCTTGCCTAAGGATTCAGAAAGCAAAGTCAGCCTCAAGCTATAGAGATCAGGCAGTGGTGAAACACACCTTTAATCCCAACAGTCAGAAGCTAGGTGGTAGTGGTGGTACACACGTTTAATCCTAGGACTCAGTATTAAGAGATAGTTGGACCCTCTGAGTTCAAGGCCACCCAGGGATACACGGGACTGAATCAATCTAAAAGACTGAGCTCACACCTTTAATCCCAGCACTAGAGAGGTATGTAAGACAGGAGCAAGGAGTCATATCAGGCATTGATTCAGCCACGCTGAGGAGAGGCAGCAGTTTGAGGTTTGGTGAGAGCTCATGCAAGGATCAGTCCATTCTGCCTGAGGTAGAGGTAAGAAGCTAGTGACCAGCTGCTTTGCTTTTTTTGATACTCAGCTTGAAGTTTGAATCCCAATATCAGTATCTGGGTCATTTATATTCGTGTAACTGGCTTAGAGTCCATTGGGGGACACTGGAGAATAAGCAGGTGACTCTTATTTGATGTGTGCATTCCAAAGCACCCTCTGGAGACACTGATGGGGGCTTGGACAGAAACTGGGCACAAGGGAGCCTGATGAATGAGAGAGACTCTAGCACGGGTTCAGGGACAGATGGATGTGTGGGCTGGAGAGTGCTCTTATTGCTGTTTTAAGTGTACCACAGACT